AATGAAAACCCTCATCAGAGAAAAGATGAATGAGAACCACCCAGGCTGCCTGGCCAGCTCCTACTGGGTGGGCACAGCAAGGACTTCCCAGTTACACTAATTGATTTTGGGATGTCAAGCCAACCTTGCACTACTGGGATAAATTCCACTTAGCCATGGCTTGTAATTCTTTTTATATGTTAATGATTCTGTTTTCTAGGAGCTTGTTGAAGATTTTCTGTGTCTATATTTATCAGGGATAATGGTCTTTAGTTTTCTTGTGATGTGTTCGCCTCGTTTGGGATCAGGGTAATATGGCCTCACAGAATGAGTTGGGAAAGTATTCTTCTCATTTATATTTTTTGTAAGAGTTTGTGAAGGAGTGTTTGTAATGCTTTAAATGTTTGATAGAATCAACAGTGATGCCATCTGGGTGTGGACTTTTCTTTGTAGGAATTTTTTTTTATTATTAATTCATTCTCTTTACTTGAAGATTTATTCAGATTCTTTCTTTGGAGTCCATTTCAGTAGTTTGTGTCTTTCTGGGAATTTGTCCATTTTAGCCAAGTTATATAATATTAGCACACAGAGGAGGGGGTCAGCTGTAAGTCCGTTTTTTTCCTCATCTTTCCCACTCCTCCAGAAATGGTCCTTTCTCTGAGGTCAAGAGGTGAATTGGAATGCTCAGAACAGGGAAGGAAGCATTCTGCTGAGGGTATAAGCACTCAAGAATGAGGCTTTTCAAAGGCAGGAGAACTGAGGGGAAGGGAACCCCCAAAGGAGGAGTGGGTGATGCTGAAGACACCAGAGAGACCTCATTAGCAGCCGCCATGAGGACAAAATTTGAGAGAGGATGAAATGCTCAAAGGTTTTCCTCAAGTTTTCCTAGGTAGCAAATTCCTGTGGGAGGAACGTTTGAGGGATTTCAGAGTGCAGTCTAAATTACTTGGAAAAGATTTCAAGATTGTGACTTTGGAAGTGGCCCTGCTCAGCAGCTACACCTGTAGATGACACAAATCCGAGTGAAAAGGCACTGTTTGCCACACCACTCCCCAATTCCTTTCCTTGCCTGCTTACCCCTTCTAAGAAAGAAAGCCTTTGGCTTTCTCCACCCCCCAAGTGCACCCCTCCACCTGCTCCCAACCTCCTCGCCTCATCCCCATGCTTCCACAACTCAGCTCACGGCAAGGCTCCCTGATATTGGCTCCCATTATCAAAGCCTTTTCCAGGGCTGTTATCAGCAGCTGCTGAGAATTTGTGGGACACAGAGTCCACTTAAGGAGGGTCCATCTTAGGAGATGGGGATGACCTTGACATCCCGAAATCACAGCCCTCAGGGCCCCTCCCATGCTGATTATGGCAGAACACACCAGAGCAGATGCACACCCTTCCTCCAACCCTATGCTATCTCTGACGTGCCCCTCTCAGTTCCTTTGACAGAAGGAAAAGAGCTTGCATTTCAAGGAAAAGTTCATAGTCAGCAGTGTTAAGTGCTAGGGAGAGGTGAGTGGACTCAGAACTGAAGTGGGTTTAGAAATCAGGATGCTCTCGGTGACCCAGAAAACAGAACTTCACAGAACTGGAGAGGTGGTAACAACCAATGCCTAGAATGGGCAAGTGCATGTGTTACAGGTTCACTCCTCTCCACCCTTGACGCTGGAGTGCCATTACCATGCCACTTTGCAGATGAGGAAACAGAGACACAGAGAGGTTAAGTAACTTGTCCAAGGTGATCCAGCTGTTGGATGGTGGAGGCAGGATTTGATCCCCGAAGTTCTGGCTAGGAGATTGTGCTCTTGATGGTGGCACTTTCTGTCTGAAACAATGGAAGGGAGACAGTGCAGTTGTAGAGAACTTGCTTTCAAGAAATTATCCTGTGGAGAGGAAAAGTGAATGTTCATTTCGGAGAAACACAACACCAGCCAACGTGGGACATCTGTCTCTGCCTGGAGGAGTGAGGGTGTGTGGAGTGTCTCGGGGTTGGAACGGGGTTCAGTGAGGGGTCCATGAGGGGTGCACTGGGGTCTTTGGAAGTGGGCCTGTGGCCCAGGGCCCTGCAATGCCCACCGAGCTGAGCAAGGCCCACATTCTGTCCACGGTTGAGCCCTGACACGCCTACGTTTGTTGTCCATTTGTTGTTGCTTTCCCTCTGCAGAATCCCAGCCATGTCAGAGGAGCTAAGTCAGGAGCCAGTAGGTCAAGGGAGCTGGGACCCCGTAGAGAGCTCATGACAGTAGCACCCCCCACCCCCAACCTCTCCTGGCAGCTGAGGCCCAACTCTGCTAAGGGTTTGTCCCTAGGACCTTGACTCCAAGGACACTCAGTCCACTCCTCTGCTTTGCTGGGTGTTACCCTCACCATGGCCTGGAATAAAGGTCTTGTCCCCACTCTGGGCCTGCCCCAGGTGAAGCCGCTTCACCACATAGGGCAGGTGCACTGCCCCTACCTTTCAGTGCTCTGTGGGGACAGTGAGCCGTGTTCATGTTCACGAGAGTTCTTTCAAAGCACAAAGTGGCCCCTGCCCTTCTGTGCTGGCAGCAGCCCCTCCAGGGTCTCTGCTCCCAACCCTGCCCTGTGTCCAGGAGGCTTACCAGTGTGGAGGGCAGTCAAGTTAGATGGTGGGGACCTGTCAGGAATTTGGGGAGTAGGAGAGAAGGAGGGCGCTACCCTGGGGTAGATGTGAGTGTGGTTAACAGAGCCATACCTCTGAAAGCCTGAGCCCACCTCAGGGAGACATGGGGTCTATTTGTCTTAAGTAGAAAAAAAAATCAGAGACAAATGGGCATCTCTGTGAGTCCCCTCCTCCTGGTGGAGGGGGCAACCAGAAAAGAGGATCCCAGGACTCTGGGTTCTCTCCCCAGGGGGCCGTTCTCAGGGCTCCTGGTGGACGCAGGATTGAACACAGGATGGCTTATGGCCAGAAAGGCGGTGACAATCCCAGAACACCTGTTCTTGCGGACAGTTTCCCAGAAATGCTCAGAAAGCTACTGTGTTCATTTTCTGTGGCTGCTGTAAAAGCTATTACAAACCTGGCTTAAAACAACACGCGTTTATTCTCTCACAGTTCCAAAGGCCAGAAGTCCAAAATCAGTTTCACTGGGCTGAGTTCCATGGGTTGGGTCGGCCACACTCCCTCCAGAGGCTCTAGAGGACATGTCCTCACCTTGCTTTTTTCGAGTTGCATTTCCAGCCTCAAGTGCTGTGTTCCTTGCGCTCCCTTGGCTCTTGGCCCCTTCTTCCCACTTCAAGGCCAGCAGCCTAGCATCTTGCTTCAGTGTCACATTACCTTCCTCTGGCCCAAATCCCCCTCTGCCTCTATCCATGAGACTTGAGATGACATTTACAGCCCATCTGGATAATCCAGGACAATCTTCCCATCTCTAGACCTGGAATTCCATCACATCTGCAAAGCCCCTTTTGGTATACAAGGGGACCTTCAAGAGTTCCAGAGATTAGGACCTGGTATCTTTGGGGTCTTTTATTTAGCTGACCACAGATACCCTCACACAAACACAGTATTAACATGGTCACATAGGGATGCCTGGGTGGCTCAGATGGTTAAGCATCTGCCTTCGGCTGAGGTCATGATCCCAGGGTCCTGGGATTGAGCCCCACATTGGGCTCTGTACTCAGCAGGGAGCCTGCTTCTCCCTCTCACTCTGCCTGCCTGTCTGCCTACTTGTGATCTCTCTCTCTCTCTCTCTCTCTGTCAAATAAATAAATAAAATCTTTAAAAAAAAACAAACAAACATGGTCACATAGACAGACCGAGACACACACACACACACTTCACACAGGCAGATACTGTCAGTAGAACCCCACATTCATTTGGCCACACATGGTCCCACATCAGTCACACACACTCCTCATCTTCAAACCTCTTCTCATCAGCCTGCTCAAGCCAGATTTGGGAAGCCACAGAGCTCTTCCCTGGCCCATGTGACAGCCTTCCTTTCCCTGATAATATCATGCAAATCCCAGTGTCCCCTCTGCCTAAGAAGCCCTTCTTCACTGCTGCCTTCAGAATTTAACCTATCTCGAGGCCTTAAAGCTGAAGGTCTCGTTTTGAGACAGCCACATCCTCCACACAGTCCACCCTGCTCTGCAGTCACCTGCTCACAGCTCTGCCTCGAGGCCACACCCTATGGGTTTTCAGAGTACAGTAAAGGGGAAAAAAGATTAGAAGAAAATCAAAGGTCACCCAGCAAAACTCTTAAAGGGTGGCTGTGTGCACGTGCCCCAGTGCCTGAGTTTGGGAGCTTGGTGACTAGTAGACGGACATCTTAGTGCTGGCTGAGCTAGAGCTCTTGGGCCTACGGCATGGCTGAGACTGGACAGCTCCCCTAGAACTTGGCTCCAGGCAACCTGGAGAGAGGTCACCTTTCTGATCCCTGCATCTGCCCCTAAGTGCTAGTCCTAGGGCCCAGACTCCATGGACCAGCCAGAGGCCTTCTGCTCCAGGTGAGTGCTGGCTTTCAGGGTGGTCACTTGGGAAGCCCTCTAAGGCCTCACCTAAGGCTGCTGACTCCCTGGGCTTCACACCCCCTTATCCACAACCTTCCCCCAGCACCCCCCAGGCTCAGGATTCTAGGGACTCCATCTGCACAGAAGGCATCCGGTGGGTCTGTTCCCTAGGAGCGGCTCAGATTCAGCCCCTGGTGTAAGGCCCCCCGCCTGGACCCCACCAAAGGGTGCAGGGCGATGAGTATCATGGGGAACTGAGGAACACAGTCTGGGCCAAGTGGTGAGTCTGGCTCTCCGCTGAGGCCAGCTTTGCTCGAGGCTCCCAGGGAAGGGAAGGGGGAAAGGGACGAAAGGGGAGAGCGCAGGCCCTTGTAGATGCCTCATCGTAGACTTTTGACCTGGCCTAGCCATGTGTGTGGGAGGAACACAGGAAGGGAGGTACAGAGCAGGAAGGCACCCCCTAGCGCTCGGGTCAGCGGTGGCCAGTGCCTGCCGCGGAGTGACCCCACTCACCGCCAGGCAGCAAAGCCTCGGAGCAAAGCCCACCCACCTCCTCCATGACTTCCCTCCCCGCGGAGCGCTACCAAGCGTTGGCCTGGAGTCACGCGGGGAAACGGGGCGCCTCTGACTCGCTGGCTGTCCTGGGCGCCCCGACGCCGGGGTCGGGTAGGGTGGGGCGCGGCAGGGCTGGGGTCACCGTCGCCACACACGTGCTGACTCCCACCGCCCCCAGCACGGAGTCCCGCGCGGCTGCCGCGCGAGATCTGCTTCAGGCCGCGCTCGAGGATCTGAGCCAGGAGCAGCTGAAGCGCTTCCGCCTCAAGCTGCGGGATGCGCCGCTGGACGGCCGCAGCATCCCGTGGGGGCGGCTGGAGCGCGCGGACGCCGTGGACCTCGCGATGCAGCTGACCCAATTCTACGGGCCAGAGCCTGCGCTGGACGTGACCCGGAAGACCCTGAAGAGGGCGGACGTGCGCGACGTGGCGGCGCGACTCAAGGAGCAGCGGCTGCAGCGTGAGCGCAGGGTCGGGGATTGCCAGGGCCCCTGCCTGTCCGTTCGCTCCCGCCTGGGCAGAGTCTGGGCCTCGAGCCGCCATCCTTCCCGCTTCCCCGTCCGCAGATTCACCAGCCCCAGGGCTCGGATCCTGGGCGCTCTTGAGGGTGGCCCCAACTCCCTCTTGCGGCCCCCGCCCCGCCCCTGCACATTCAGCAGGGCCTCACCACAGGTCTCCCTTCCAGGGCTCGGCCCCAGCTCCCCCGCTCTGCTCTCCGTGTCCGGTAGGTCTCTCCAGGCACGAAACACGGGCCCCAAGCTGTCGGGGCGGGGTGGGGGGTGGGGGCACGACGGTGACCCTCAGGTTTGCAGCACGAGTGTCCTCTACACTGCTTGGAGGTTCCCGACAGCTGGTCCCAGGGAGGAGAGTGTGTGGGAAGGCTGCAGGGGAGAGGGGCTGGGGTGTAGCTGGGGAAACAGTGGGTTGGGGAATGGCCCGAGAGGGTCAAGTGACGCAGCCCGTCCCATCCTTGTCCTCCCCACACACATACCGCGTTCCCTTTACTCCCTCCGGTCCCCTCTGCCGGCCCCCACCAGAGTACAAAAAGAAGTACAGAGAGCATGTCCTGCAGCAGCATGCCAAGGTGAAGGAGAGAAACAGCCGCTCGGTGAAGATCAACAAGCGCTTCACCAAATTGCTTATCGCGCGCGAGAGCGCCCCGCTGGTGGACGAGGCTCCGGGGCTCGCGGAGGAGCAGGGGCCAGAGCGCGCTCGGCGCTCGGACACCCACACCTTCAACCGCCTCTTCGGCCGCGACGGAGAAGGTCAGCGGCCTCTGACTGTAGTGCTACAGGGCCCCGCGGGCATCGGCAAAACCATGGCGGCTAAGAAAATCCTGTACGACTGGGCGGCAGGCAAGCTGTACCACGACCAGGTGGACTTCGCCTTCTTCTTGCCCTGCCGCGAGCTGCTGGAGCGACCCGGCACGCGCAGCCTGGCCGGCCTGATCCTAGACCAGTGCCCCCACCGCAGTGCGCCCCTGCGGCAGATGCTCGCTCGGTCCGAGCGGCTGCTCTTCATCCTGGACGGCGCGGACGAGCTGCTGCCGCCGCCGGGGCCCTCCGAGGCCAGGCCCTGCACAGACCCCTTCGAGGAGGCAGACGGCGCGCGGGTGCTGGGCGGCCTGATGAGCAAGACGCTGCTGCCCGACGCGCGCCTGCTGGTGACGGCGCGCGCCACCGCCCCGGGGAGGCTGCAGGGCCTCCTGTGCTCACCGCAGTGCGCGGAGGTGCGCGGCTTCTCCGACAAGGACAAGAAGAAGTACTTCCACAAGTTTTTTCGGGACGAACGGATGGCGGAGCGTGCCTACCGTTTCGTGAAGGAGAATGAGACGTTGTTCGCCCTGTGCTTCGTGCCCTTTGTGTGCTGGATCGTGTGCACTGTTCTGCGCCAGCAGATCGAGCTCGGCCAGGACCTGTCGCGCACCTCCAAGACGACCACGTCCGTGTACCTGCTTTTCACCGCCAGCGTCCTGAGCTCGGCGCCTGCGGCAGATGGTCCCCAGATGCAGGGCGAGCTGCGCAAGCTGTGCCGCCTGGCCCGTGAAGGCATCCTCCAGCACAGGGCGCAGTTCGCGGAGAAGGATCTGGAACGACTGGAACTCCGCGGCTCTAAAGTCCAGACGCTGTTTCTCAGCAAGAAGGAGCTGCCAGGCGTGCTGGAGACAGAGGTCACCTACCAGTTCATGGACCAGAGCTTCCAGGAATTCTTCGCTGCGCTGTCCTACCTGCTGGAGGATGAGCGAGATCTCACGGCACCGGCTGACAGCGTAGGAGCGCTTCTGCGGGGGGACACCGAGCGGCGCTGCCACCTCACGCTCACCACGCGCTTCCTCTTCGGGCTGCTGAACACAGAGCGGATGCGCGACATCGAGCGCCACTTGGGCGGCGTGGTTTCAGAGCGCGTGAAGCAGGATGTCCTGCGGTGGGTGCAGGAACAGGGCCAGGGCCGCCCTAGGGCGGCACCTGAGGGGGCCGAAGAGACCGAAGCTCCGGGAGGCGCCGAGGAGCCGGAAGAGGACGAGGGCGAGCTCAACTACCCGCTGGAGCTGCTGTACTGCCTGTACGAGACGCAGGAGGGCGCCTTCGTGCACCAAGCCCTGCGCGGCTGGCCTGAGCTGGAGCTGGAGCGCGTGCGCTTCAGCCGCATGGACCTGGCCGTCCTGAGCTACTGCATAAGGTGCTGCCCCGCCGGGCAGGCCCTGCGGCTGGTGAGCTGTGGACTGGTCCCCGCACAGGACAAGAAAAAGAGGAAGAGCCTGATAAAGCGACTGCATGGCAGCCTGGGCGGCAGCTCGTGAGTCTACAGGGCAAGATGGCCCCGGTTCACAGGCCCTCCGTGGGGGAATGTGTGCCCGTGCATCCATGTGGGCAGGGGGAGCACGTCCACAGCGGACGCCTGCCCCCCCCACCCCCGCCAGAGGAGGAGCCCACCCCCTTGCAAGGCAGCCTCCCAATGTCCATCTCCTTCCCCAGGATGCCCTTGCCATGCCAATTCCCAACTGTCCACAGGTGAGGCAAACCTCCAAGCATGGCTGTGTGGCTCAGGCCCAGCTTTCTAGTAAGTTCTGGAATAACTATGCCCACTGTGCCCTGAGCTTTGTACCTGCTCAGTGCTTTGCCAGGCTCCCCCAGCTGGCCTGAGACCCCATTGGCCCCAGAAGTGCCCCATAGACCACTGTATGCCATGACATCTACCCATGTCTATCCCCTTTACTAGACCCTCAGCTCCTTCAGGGAGAGTTGCCTTAGCTCCAACCCAGCACTTGACCCAGAGCTCAGCATCTGTTGAGATAATGAAAGTCAGGATGTTGGCAGGGGCTGGGGCTGGGGACGCCCACTGCACGTGCAAGGGTAGACCCACCTCGGAATGCGGGTGACATCCTCCCCCACCGGCTGGACTCACATAGACTGCTTCAGCGGGGAGGTGCATGGGGCCCCAGATGAGTGGTTTCACACTGGGTTTAGAGTGAAGAGGGTGGAGGGGTCCTGGCTCAGTTTGGGGTTGAGGGCAGAGGCAGCTCCGACACCTCAGGACCACAGGAAAGAGGTAGGGCCACTTGGGCGGCGTGGTTTCAGAGCGCGTGAAGCAGGATGTCCTGCGGTGGGTGCAGGAACAGGGCCAGGGCCGCCCTAGGGCGGCACCTGAGGGGGCCGAAGAGACTGAAGCTCCGGAAGGCGCCGAGGAGCCGGAAGGGGACAGGTGGGCTTCACCTTGCTCTCTCTCCTAGCAGTTCACAAGCCACCATGAGAAAACCCCAGGCCTCTCCACTACGTTCACTCTTTGAGGCCATGACTGACCAACATTGTGGTCTGAACAGCCTGACGTGAGTGACCATGCCCCCACCCCTCCCTTGGAAGGGATGCAAAGCAGGATACTCTGGGCAGGGACAGAGGTACAGCCCTGTCTGGAAACGGCTGAGGGGACAGACTGAGAGCCTGTGGCCTCTGGTGTCCCGGGCTGGGGTCAACAGGCTGTGCCCACACAGAACGGAGGAGGGGATGGGGGCAGGGGCTCCATCATCAGCTTCGGTGTTAGTTAGGAAGGAGCATTTGGCCCCAGTTTGAGTGGAAAGCATGGTGCGGCTAAGCATTCTGGGGGAGGGATAAAGAAGACCAGAACATATTTTCCTTCCAAAGAAAGGAAACAAACAAACGAAGGAAGGAAGGAAGGCTGCTAGGTGCTATTGGAAAGTGCTGGGCAGCCCCTCTGAACTCTTCCAAGCAATGGAAGGGAGTATTCAGGACACAGGCTTTGAGTCCAGGTTGCCTGCCTCTGAGCCCTTGGGCAAGTCAGTCTATCTGAGCTTGTTTCTTCCCCTATGAAATGGAGCCAAGAGATTCTGCCTCAGAGGGTTGGTATGAGAATTAATGTGGCAACACTGAGTCTATGACCTATCACCAAGTAAGCAGAAGGTAAGAGAAACTGTAGGAACTAGTACCGGTGGGGCATAGTGACATGGTTACTTAGCTTGACAGGAGGGTATTCCAGCAACCTGGAAATAAACATAGGGGGCCAAGAAGGTGATCGGCACATTTGGCCCATCGATTCTGCCCCTAAACTGAATGCATGAAGACGTTCATCACAGCATTATTTATAATAGCAAAAAAGTAGTAACAACACAACTGCCCGATTGTTAGGGACTGGCTACTTGAATAAACTATGGCCTACCTTAACTCGATGGACAATGATATGCAATTAAACATGTGGACAGTAAGATCTAAATTGGCTCATCAAAAAGCTGGTAGAGAATTGTGTCCTAAGGGAAAGTGGAGTGCAGTCCAGCACTTGCATATATGGCCAAGGCGCCTCAGGAACACATGTGGTGACAAAGGACGGAGAAAACTCTGTTCCTGTGGAGCCAGCATATCGCCAGACTGAACCTCAGCCGCCCAAGGAGCGGGCAGTTTGCGGAGCCGGGGTGTAGCAAAGCAGCCAGGGGGCCTGAAGACAGACCCGTGTGCCTCTTGACCACAGGCTGTGCCGCTGCAAACTGCCTGACTCCGTCTGCCAAGACCTCTCTGGGGCCCTGAAGGAGGCCCCTGCCCTGAGGGAGCTGGGCCTCCTCCACAACTGGCTCACCGAGGCAGGCCTGCGTGTGCTGAGTGAGGGCCTGGCCTGGCCCCAGTGCCGGGTGCAGAAGCTCCGGTAAGACCTGGCCTGGAAGAGACCAAGGGAGGGACAAGGGCAGGGCCGCGGGCCAGGGGCCGGGGGGGGGGGGGGGGGTTGCAGTTTGTCCACAGCAGTCCTGAGGTTCACCCCGCCCCCAGGGTGCAGCAGCCCTGCCTCCAGGAAGCGCTTCAGTACCTCATCAGCATGCTCAGGCAGAGCCCAGCATTGACTACCCTGGATCTCAGTGACTGTCAACTGTCGGGACCCATGGTAACCTACCTGTGTGCAGCCCTACAGCACCCAGGATGCCGCCTACAGAGCCTCAGGTAGAGGCAGGGGCGGGAAACGTGCTGGGGACTCAGCCCCTCAACCGTGGGTTGGGCTGGGTGCCTGGGGACTTCCCCTGGGCCCTGAAGTGGAGCCCCTCTCAGGCCGCCCGAGTGACCACACTCAAACCCAGCCCCTGGAGACCCGTGCTCCAAAGCGCTGGCCCCAGCTCTCGGCTTCAGCCACTCTACCAGACCAAATGTCCATCTGTCATCTGGTGCCATGGCAAGTCTGGGCCAGTGATCCCAATACCCTTTTACTCCCCGAAAGGCTCTGGCCCCCAGCCCCTAACCCCTCTTCCCAGCCTCTGACGCCCCTAACACCTTCTGTCACTGTGTGCTTTAGCACAGCCCAGGCCAACAGCCCCATCACTGCCCCCCCCCGCTGCCCTGTTACTGCCCCCCCACCCTGGCCTCAGCTTCCCCAACCTACTCCCACTTGTGTTCTGTGTGCATGGCTACAGTCTGACCTCCGTGGAGCTGAGCGAGCAGTCACTGAAGGAGCTGCAGACAGTGAAGACGGCAAAGCCAGGTCTGGTCATCACCCACCCGGCACTGGACAGTCCCCCTGAGCCTCCCAAAGGATTCATCAGTGCCCTCTGAGGCCCCGAAGGCCAGGGGGAGGACTCTAGTCAGCCCTACGGAGTAGACTTCCTCATCCCAAGGGCAGGAGGATGTTGCTCTCAGCTCTGGTCAGCTCTTTTGAGCCTGAGGAGCTGGGGGCAGGCAGACGGGAGGCGAGGACACACAGGGTCCCTTACCTGGCCAGGGACAGGTCCCAGGATATGCCCCTCCCCTCACACCCTGGGCACAGGTTACATCTCTGTCTTAGAAACCCAGGGACCTCTCCTCCACCCACCTTCCTCTCCTAAGGCCCTCTAGCCTTCCCCCTGCAGATGCCTCCAGCAACAATAATGATGTCAAGAGCTCCCAGGCATCAAGCACCTACCATGTGTTGGCCTTTACCTGGTCTCTTCAGTGCAGAGCGACCCCTGCACTGATCCCATCCCCATCTGCACTATGGGCCCCACAGCCCCAACAACTCTGCCCCTGGTCACAGGGCATCGAGCAGGGGCTGACCCCTGACCAAAGGTGGGCAGGTCACCATTCCACCCCAGGAATTTGTATCTTGGCATTGGGAGCAAAGCCATCCCTGAGGCTGTGTGGGCCCAGTCCAGAGGGGTCCATTCACTATCTAGGTCTTCAGGGATGGAGACCAGGGGAGAGGGAGATGGAGTAGCAGCTGGGACTCTGGCAGCAGGCAGCCTGCCCCCCCACCCCATGCACTGATAATACATTCTCCTTTGGATTCACTTCTGTTGATTTCTGTTGCACGTGGCCAAGCATCCTAGCAAGCGCTCACAATCTTTCCTTTGGTCCCCAATCCACCTGTATGGGGTGGGGTTGTATTCCCCATTTCCCAGATGAGGGAACTGAGGCTCAGGGTTACAGACTGACTGCAGGAAGCTCTGAGGCGAGGCCCGGGTTTGACGAACAGGGCCAGCAGTGGACAGCCCCCGAATCCTCAGGTCTCTGGTCAAAGCTTCAGGGCTTGACCGGCTCCTGAGACCTCAGTCCAGGTAGATGAAAACCACGGGAGTCAGTGCCTTCAATTCTCGGGGGAAATTCCCTTCCATACTCACCTTTCAAATCCAGGCATTCATTCCACAAAACGGACAAAATCCCCCCCGCCTTAACCTGACAGGAAGACAGACAATAAACATGTATAGACATAGACAGGGGCCAACCAGTGCTTTGGGGGAACATAAAGTACGGCAAAATGCAGGGAGACAACAGAGCCAAGGCTTTCCAGTTACAAGTACTGGGTCTGGAGAAGTCTAACTGAGGACAGGGCATTTGAAAACAGAAGGATGTGAGGCATCAAGCCCTGAGAATATCTTGACGGAAAGTGTTCCAGGCAAAGCAATAGCCAAGTACAAAGGCCATGAAGAGGAGTGTCTTACCAGCTCGTCTGCCATGACAAAATACCGTAAACTGGGGCGCTTATCAAACACAGAAATGTGTTTCTCACAGTGCTGGAGGCTGGGACGTCCAAAGTCAAGGTGCCAGTCAATATGGCATCTGGTGAGGACCTTCTTCCTGGTTGCAGAGGGCTGTCCTCTTGCTGTCTCTTCACATGGTGGAAAGAGAGCAGGCTAGCTCTCGGGCCTTTTCTTGTAAGGTCTCTAATCCCACTCTTGACAGCTCTTGACCTAATTACCTCCCAAAGGCCCCACTTGCAAATACGGTCACACTGGGGATTAGATTTCAACTGATGGATTTGGGGGCACACACCCAGTCCATAACAGGGAGCATGCTTGGACTGTTGCAGAAGCCGCAAGGAAGCTAGAGTGGCAGCAGTGGACTAGGGGAGGGGTTAGGGGGGGCAAGGGATGCTTGCCGGTCGGTCCTCCAGTGAGGTGGGCACCACCACAGGCTTCGGGGCAGAAGGGTGCCTGTGGCTGTGTTAACAAGGACTGCAGAGGGCAGAGCAGAAGCACAGAGTGTGGACTGTGTCTATCCAAAAGGACGGCTTGACCTCGGAGGTTGCAGTGGCGATGGTGAGATCTGGCAAGTGCAGAACAACAGGACCTGTGCATTGGAAGTGGGTGTGGGGACAGAGGGAGCCTGAGCAGCTGGACAGGAGGAGTCTCCTGCGGGAGGTTGCAAGAAGAGCTGGTTTTGAGGGACACGTGGAATCTGAGTGTCTCTGGCGGGGCCCAGTGGTCAGAGCATAGACGTGTGGGTCAGGCCAGGGCCAGAGAGGCAAGGAGACAGGCCCAGGGCCCAGCCCTGGAGCGTCCAGGTGGGCAGGTGGGGAAACGGAGTCTGAGAGCAGCGGCTGGGGAGAGCCGGAAGGTGGGGCCAGAGCAAAGGGAGGGACTTCTCCTGGAGGGGGACCGGCAGCGCCACCTCTCTGAAGGGGGGACACGGAAGCTCACGCAGAGACAGAGGAAGCCGAGACCGGAGAGGGGCAACCGCAAACCAAAGGCCCCCACCCGCCTCGTATCCATCCCTGGACACGTCCTTGAGGTCAGCGTTCAAACTGTGCTCCTCCCGCAGTTGGCTGCGAGCACCTCCCGCGTGCACATCCGCAGCCCCCGGTGTGCACGCGGACCCACGCGGCCCGCTCGCCTGCCCAGCTGCTCCGCCCCGGGGGTGGGGGCCCAGCTGCCCCGCCCTGCGCGGCCCTGGGGGCGGGGACCGCAAGGCCTTTCGGGGACGGGGCGGCCGCAGGCTACTTCTCCCTTTGGCCAAGGAAGGGCAGCGCCGAGCGGGCTGGAGCCTGGGGACACGCAGGGCTGCGGTGAGCCCCAGAGACCCTCCCCGGCCTGCCTCCCGGAGCTCCGGCTCCTTCCCCGCCCCGGCCCAGGGTCGCTGGCCTCCGCAACCCCCCGCCCCCACCGCCCCGGACCGCGCTCCGGCGCACGCCCCAGCCCTCCCCCAAGCGAGCCTTCTTGAGGACTACTGTCCGGACGACTGAGGCCTCCTCACTCCCCACTAACAGGTCGGGGCCCGTGGGGGTGCGGCTTGGAAAGAGCTGGAAGGACTCGAATTGAGGTCCTAAGGTGGGAGTTTGGGGACCCAGCTGGGTCTCTGGAGATCAGTATTAGGAGTTTGAGCATCTCTTAGCGTTGAAAGTGGGGCCTGTGAAAAATCGGGCCTGCCCAGGTGGCCCACACCCTCCCCACCAGCTGTCAGAGGCATCAGCCAAGTTCGTGGGGCGGGAGGCTTAGGGCTTTAACAGTCAAAAGAGGGAGGCCCAGCCAATTGTGGGGGCCACTGACTCCCCATTTTCCAGGCCACTCTGCTGAGCAAGACTTTCCATGGAGGATGCCACTGAGGACCCCACCATATTCACTGCCCATTCTCTGCCCAGTGACCCCCGGCTCTTGGCCACCATGACCAACACATACTTGGGCACACGTGTGTATCATGACACACTGCATGTGAGCGGCGTGTACAACGGGGCTTGCAGGGACACACACCGGGCCATTCTGCCGAGTCCCCTCAATGTCCAGCTGGAGGTCCCTGCAGAGACAGGAGATCAGCTGACCAAGACCTTTGTCCTGGACACTAACACAGGTAACCACCACTGTCCTGCTCCCCCCATGTGAGCCATTGTTCTAGGTGAGTGGGGGAACCAACAGCAGCAGTCCCATCCTGACACCTTCCAACTCAGGGTGCCTGACTCACAAAGAAAAGCAGGGTTTCAGCCCTGCGGGCCTCCTGAACTGCTACAAGATTGGGGTCTTCTGTGCAACCATAGCTCTCCAGACAGGGCAGTTGGGGCTCAGAGGGTGGATCCACCCCCCTGAGGGGCTGGTAGCTTTGTAACTGTCCTCACTGGCCCTAAGTGGGGCATGCGAGTTGCCCTGACCCCCTCTGCCCATTCCCAGGCTCCTTTCTGCACACCCTAGAGGGCCCCAGCTTCCGGGCCTCCCAGCGCATCTACGCCCACCGCACGCTGCCTCACGTCATGGCTTTCAGTGTGTCCATCACCCGTGTGGCCGTGGGGAACTGGCCCATCACGGTGCTGCTGCGGTCAACCTTCTCCCCAGAAAGCCCAGACCTCGACCTGCATCTGGGTCCTGACTTCCAAGGAGCCCGGTGAGGAGGGGGCCAGGGCTGGCCAGGTAGACTAAGGAGGGAGCGGGTCCCTCAGACATGGCCTCACTCTTGCAGGTGCCTTTATGGCCACACACTAACCCCGGAGCAACCTGAGGGGTCCCAGCAGGAAGTACACATGCTGTGGACACCAGTGCCCCCAGCCCTGACCCTTGGGGAAAGTGAGGAAGACCAGACCTGGGAGTTCCTGACCGTGGTGGGTGGCAGCCAGGCTGAGGCCCGAGCCTGCCTGACCGAGGCCCTGCAGCTGCAGGCAGAGGGCACTCTGTACACGGCCCACGCCCAGGCCTGGGCCCAGCTCTGGGCTGGCTGTGGCCTGGATGTGGTGGGGCCCCTGCCCCTGCGCCAGGCCTTGCGTGGCGCCCTCTACTACCTGCTCAGTGCCCTGCCCCAGCCTGGGGCCCCAGGATATACCTGCCATGGCCTCAGCCCCGGGGGCCTGTCCAATGGGAGCCGAGAGGAATGCTACTGGGGCCA